TGCTTATTTCCAGCTCCAGATAATACCCCGTCACAGGCCATTCTTGAGATTCGCCTTCAAAGACAGGGTTTATCAATACACCGTCCTACCGTTCAGCCTGTCTTTAGCACCCTGTACATTCACGAAGTGAATGTTTCATGATTATTCTCTCGCCCCCTTGAGAGACCAGGGTGTGTCCAGGGACTGGATTCAAGATTCGGGGAACGAGATGAGGGGAAATTAGGGGCTAGCATAGCGTTCCGACACATGTTTAAGCACCCCATGAGAAATGCAGAGCAGCATAGCCAGTCTGACATAACGGCCCATTATAGTGCGGCTCAACCAGAAGAGCTTAGTCACATGACAGTGGCTTGCGTGCAGAAATATGGGCAGATCATGCAAACTTTTAGACTGACAAAAGTTTAGGTTATAAAATCTCTAAAATCTATAAAATCCAGCCTGCCACCGTACAAATGTCATGAATAAAAATTCCATTGGACCATGCCCATGATGAGGCCATGCCTCTAGTTTGATGCCCAAAGGGCACTGCAGATCTTTTGACGCATAAGCAGCAGCAACTATCCACTATCCAAATTTTAACCTTTAGATATCATCATGAAAATCACTAAATAGATTGCTCATCATTGATTGAAAATTGATTGAAAATCACTGAATTGACAAACAAAAAATTTATTTCAAGTTTTTACAAGTTAATATAAAGGCTTCTTCTTGACAGCAGGGTATAGTGACAGCCTTGGTGTCTCGATTCAAGCCCGCAGGGTCAACATCGGCAGTTCTTCCCAGTGCTTGCAGCCTCCAGAGGAGAGGGCGAGCGCTGCATTTTCATGTCCCAGGCAGAGAGGGCAGATCACGTGGCGGTCTCCAATGCTGAGCGGGGATCTGCACGAGCTGCAGGAAGTGCGAGGCATCTTTAAAAAGACGTCACGCTGCTCTTTTAGATAGATGTGGTGTCAGTGGCAGACACAACGGAGTTTTAAAAGGATACGTCCCTGGATTGCGCAGCCCGCACGGATGGCTGAAGGCGGTGGTGACCGGTTTCTTTGGCGCTCTCCTAGGCTGGCTTTTTGCTTCCTCAGATGGTGACGCGGCTTCTCTCTGATCAAGCGATGCGAAGAGCTTCGCTGAAGAGATAAAAATCAGAGAATCAGCCTCCGAGCCCTGCTTACAGTATATACGCTAAGCCACGCCCATACTTCATTGGACGTGACGTCATGTTGGGCTCAGTGGTAGGCTGTTGCAGTTCCCACAGGGCAGCCTATGATCACAGCCCTTGCGATGGCCCTGATCACACTAGATAGCCTGCTCTAGGTCTGCTAGCTGCTGCACAAAATAATTTTTTGGCTTCAATATCTCGAAAAGATGAATCATTCCCGTAGCGTAAGCTAACTTGTGCAATATGAGAGAACCTCTCGTAAGAGAACATTTTTTTTTTCACAACACCATGCGACCAGCATTTTTTATTTTAATAGTTTATCTACAATAACCTATCATCATGGAGTATATTGATTAAGTATGTTGCATTATATTGATTTACAATGTCAACTATGTTGGTATATATTCAAATTTGTGGTTAACTGATCAAGAAAACCAGATGGTTGGCCATACAAGACCTACCATTGAAACATCAAAATGTCAAGTCAAGTCAAGTCAAGTCACATTTATTTATATAGGGCTTTTTACAATACAGATTGTATCAAAGCAGCTTCACAGCTTCAAATGATAACATGGAAGTAATACAACACAGATCAATAATGTTGTTGAACATTAAATGTCCCCAACTAAGCGAGCCAAAAGCAAGGCAACAGTGGCAAGGAACCAAAACTCCATCAGGTGATTGGATAGAGAAAAAAAACCTTGGGAGAACCCAGGCTCAGTTGGAGCCAGTTGTCCTCTGGCCAACATACATATTGTTTCAAAGCAGCTTTACAGAAAGTGCATTTCAGAAAAGTACATGTAAAAAATACATTTAGTTAAACATGTAAGGGCATAACATATCGTATCTTTGGCGCTGAGTCGTCTCTTCACAGGCGGTGAGTCGTCTCTTCACAGGCGTTGGGGCATCTGAAAGTCTCTGTGAGAGGCTACTGGGGCTGACGAACGCCATTTTTCTCGGGACAAGCGTCCCGAGATAACAGCAGAAAGGCAGATGGGAAATAATTATAGCTGATGTTCATCATGATTTCCATTACACAAGAGTAGATGTTAAAAAACCACAATCTCACAAACTCTCCGCAACCCAAACTCTCCGCAACCCAACCATACGCGCCGACCCGTTTGACTAATGCTGTCGAGCCCCACTGTCGCGGAAATGCGTTTCAGTGGCAACGGTTCCGTATGGCATACCATCTACCGCAAAAACACAATATCTGCCCAACCACCCGTCATCCACACAATACACACAGGAAAGTAATGACTGTAAATACTATGCAACCAATACAAATACCTACAAACGTTTCAAGTTTTATAGTATTAATGCATTTGATCTGATTCAACAGAGGAATAAAAGGTTAAGCATTATGTGAATGCTTGACTAAAGAGATGCATCTTAAATCTAGTTTTAAACTGTGACAGAGTCAGAGCCTCGGACCGTATCGGGAAGGCTATTCCAGAGTTTTGGAGCTAAATGCGAGAATGCTCTCCCTCCTTTAGTGGACTTAGATATCCTAGGAATGACCAGAAGCCTCGAATTTAGTGATCTTAAAGAACGTGGTGGATTGTAGGGCGAAAGAAGGTCCATTAAATACACAGGAGCTGAACCATTTAGGGCTTTATAGGTCAATAGTAGTACTTTGTAATTGATACGGAACTTAATAGGTAACCAGTGTAGAGATTATTTTAGAAGAGTATTTTATGATCTATAACAGTCGAACGCAGCGCTAAGATCAAGTAGAACTAGTACAGCCTTGGTCAGAAGCTAGAAGTAAATCATTTGTAATTTTAACTAGCGCAGTTTCTGTACTATGATGTCTGAATCCTGACTGGAATTTTTCATAGATATAATTTTCTTGCAAAAAAGAGCACAATTGAGCGGACACAACTTTTTCTAGTATTTTGGACATAAATGGAAGATTTGAAATGGGTCTGTAATTTGCTAAGTTATTTGGATCTAATTGCAGTTTCTTAATGAGAGGTTTTATTACTGCCAGCTTGAATATTTTTGGAACATGACCTAAAGATAAAGACGAGTTAATAATGTTGAGGAGAGGCTCTTCCACTACAGGTAACAGTTCTTTCAGTAGTTGAATGGGTATTGGATCTAATGAACATGTTGTTGGTTTAGATGCAATGATGAGTTTATTTAGCTCTTCCTGTCATATAGTTGTAAAGCGGTGTAGTTGTTCTAGAGGGGCCATAATTGAGGCTGAATCACAAGACACCAAAGAGGATTGTACATTTATAATTGTGTTTCAGATGCTTTCTATTTTCTCATTGAAGTAATTCATAGAATTGTTACTACTAAACTGTAACGGAATATTCTGCTCTGTTTATTTGTTAGTCTAGTCCAGTCTTGGATTATTTTGGTTTCTATTAGTTTGCGGAGATGCCCAACCCTGGCTGTTTTTATAACGTGACATACTGTCTTTCCACGCGATTCTAAAGACCTCTAAATTTGTTTGTTTCCATTTACGCTCTAAGTTGCGAGTTTCTCTCTTGATAGCATGCGTAGCACTGTTGTACCATGGTGCTTTGGTTAAATTGTCAACTATAGGCCTATTACCCTACTGAGCCAACTCGGCAACTCTTGTAACTGTGTCCTCTGAGGATAATTAATTATTTGCAATAGATTAGTTTTTATTTTAACTTTCTGAGACTGTGTACTGTATGTGGTTCATAAACAAAATGTCCCCACAAAGATTGCAATATGATGAATAAGATTGTGATAAGCTTATAAACCACACAAAATTGTGTTTTTTTAATGTAAAAATGCAGATAGTTTTCTGTAATGGGAAGGTTTAGGGGATAGAATGCACAATATAACAATCATGAAATGAAATTAAATAAAATGTCCCCATAAAACATGGAAACCCAACTTAGATATGTTATACTGATGAAGTGGCCTATGTAAAAAATGATCAAATCTGTAAACTGAAACCAATAGTAATTTAATTGAGAAATTATAATGCTTTTGGACTTTTTTGTTAAAATGAAATGTGCACCATTTATAGAATGAACCATACATTTGTTACCTCTAATCTATGTGCCAAATATTATTCAATTGTTGCAATCAGTGCCAAAATATATTGTTTAAATATTTGAAATAGACAAATGACATTCTTGAACACATTATTCATATATCCTATTCTATATCAGAAGAAGACATTACGTATTCTAAATTGTGAAAATACAGTAATAATACAGTAATAAAATAAGAAATAAATATAATGCTGATAAACTTAATTCATGAAGCATGTATTCCTTATTCAGATCACTTCTGAAACACCTACGTATTTCACTGTTGCAATCTATTTCAGATGCAATCTTATAGAAATGATTAGAGCTCTGTTGCTTGATGATTTATAGTATTTCACAGCAGTTGAATGGCCCTACAACAGAATTATGTTAAATGTGTTGTCTTGTTGTCTAGTCTGGAGTTGTCTAAATGTACACCCTGCTGAATTATCACATAAAATTCTATAAACGTGCACTGACACAAGAAGATTGCCGAGGTTCCACAATTATTTATCAGGCAGATAGATAGATAGATAGATAGATAGACAGATAGACAGATAGATAGACAGATAGATAGATAGATAGATAGATAGATAGATAGATAGATAGATAGATAGATAGATAGATAGATAGATAGATAGATAGATAGATAGATAGATAGATAGATAGATAGATAGATAGATAGATAGATAGATTTGTAAATCAAATGTGTAGTGAAGCCATGAAGCCTTTTGCTACCAGTGTAGTTAATTTTAAACAAGAACTTTGATCTTGTTGAAGCATTTCTATGTCTTCATTACATCATCTCCAGAAACAGAGGTCTGAGGCATTACAGTTTTCTTTTTACGTTTCAGCACAATGAAAATGGTAGAAAACGAAAAGCTGACTCTAAGACGAGAGTTGGGGCTCCCCAGTGCTGTATCTTTGGTTGCAGGCATCATGATCGGTTCAGGAATTTTTATGTCTCCACAGTTTGTACTGGTGTACGTTGGGAGTTCTGGGGCAAGCTTGATCGTCTGGGCAGTATGTGGTATAGTATGTATGTGTACTGCTTTGTCATATGCTGAGATGGGCACCATTATCAGAGAATCAGGGGGCGACTATATCTATATCCTGCGAATTTATGGACCTTGTCCTGCATTTTTTGTGGCCTTTACAACCATGTTTCTGATGAAGCCATTTGGGATTATAGCTGGTTCTCTGAGCTTCGCTAAGTATGCTGTGGCACCATTTTACCCAGGCTGTACACCACCCATACTGGTGGTAAAGTGTATTGCTGCAGCATGTGTTTTTGTGGTTGCAACTATCAACATGCTAAATGTACGTTTTACTATGGCTACTCAGGTGGTTTTTATGGTGGCCAAATTTGTAAGTCTAATGATAATAGTTATTGGAGGAATAGCATCACTTGTACAGGGAAACTATGGAAGCCTCTGCAATCTAGAAAGTGCCTTTGCAGACACTAAGTTTGGGATTAGTACTGTTGGAATGGCGCTATATCAGTGCCTATGGTCGTATTCTGGTTGGTACAACATAAACAATGTTACTGAGGAGGTGAAAAGACCAGAGGTGAGATTAAGTTAATGTCTTCTGCAATGTCATCATTTTGACTGTATTGACATACCAGATGAAAGTAATAAAATCAAGTAAGATTATGTCATTACATGATTAAGGTGATAAATGCAGATATGTCACATAAAACTGCTAAATTTTATGATTTATCACTTAAATAATCTAATTTAAGAAGTGATTTTGTCTTTCAGGTGAACCTGCCAAGGGCACTGATGATTGCTGTTCCCATGGTAACCATACTATATCTACTAGTTAATGTCAGTTATCTGGTTGTTATGACAACCACGGAGATGATATCATCCAGCGCAGTAGCTGTCACATGGGGGTAAGGTTCTGAGTGCTATACAATATATAGACATTATAATTGAGTGATTTAGTGTGATGTACTCAATCCTATTAATGCTATATTGTATTATTATTTGATATGATCTTGATATTCATGTTGGGACAAGTATTTTTGTTTTATGATGTGTATGCACTTATTTGTTTCTTGTGAAAGGAATAAAGTATTAGGAGGGTGGGGCTGGGTGATGTCCGTTGCTGCAGCAATCTCAGCCTTTGGTTCTCTGAATGGATCTTTTTTCAGTGGAGGGCGCGTGTGTTACGTAGCAGCAAGAGAGGGACACATGGTAAGAAAAGTTCCCTTGGAAATAACTGAAAAAAGTATGGGATCAAATCAGTAGTTTGAGTGTAATGCAGAATTTGTAAATCACACTTCATATTATATTTCAATAACCACAAATATTAAGGTAGTTTCAGGAAAAGTGGGACAATGAGCTTTGATAAATTGCCTTTTATTCAAGTCATCTTAATTTCTTTATTTCTTTCTTTATTTGTATATGTCCCCGGAGGGTAATTGGTTTTACAGCAAGAGAGCATACAAAAGGACAATTTACAATGTATTAAACATTTCCATAAAAGCTAAAAGTTACATTAAAAAAAAAAATCATGCACGAAGTACACACACAAGACCCAACAACTACTTCCTTCCACCTACTCCCCCCATACCCGAATTTAACAGAGAAATGGAAGTTTAATGTTGAATGTTTATACCTGTAACTTCTAACAGAGGGAAATCTCAGTTGAGATGCTGAGGGTAAAAACTGAAACTCAGAAAAAAGAGGATGTGAAAGCCTGATTTTTTTTTTGAAACCCTCTTTTTTCTGAGTTTCAGTTTTTACCCTACTGACTCAAGATTTGTAAAACAAAGTAATCAAGGACCTATCAACTTTAAAGGGTCATGAAACCCCAAACCAAATTTTCTGAGATTATAACAGAGGTATGTGTGTTGAACGCCATTGAAGACAATGTTAGCATCTGTTAGATTTAATAATAAGGTTAAAATGGTTAAATTTGAGTTTTTTTCCATTGTAGCGGTTTTTCATTTCCGTTTTCCGGTTTTCGTTGTAGCGGGTGACGTGGCAGTGCACTGCACAGTGCGTTGATGACTCATCTGTGTTATCCTATGAGAAGACACGGCTCTTAATTATTCATGACACCACGTGGATCTTTCCAACGACAGACATGACAAACTGTGATATCGCGTAGTAACGTTAGATGAGAGAGGCAATCATGGGACGCAAACTATTTGTTTTCATGGTGCAAAGTCCAAGTGCGTTGAATATGTTCCCCGCGACGTCTAAACCTGATCCAAACTAGTGTGTGCCGCTAACATTTTCGTGAGAAAGCTGCGACAAGTAAAGAATGATGGACTTCGCCTTGTTGACAACTAATCCAAGTTGCGTCTTGCGAGTGATGCGGTATCCCGAGGACTTTCTATCCCTTCAGAGGTGTGTGTGTGTGTGTGTGTGTGTGTGTGTGTGTGTGTGTGTGTGTGTGTGTGTGTGTGTATGTGTGTGTGTGTGTGTGTGTGTGTGTGTGTGTGTGTGTGTGTGTGTGTGTGTGTGTGTGTGTGTGTGTTTTACATTGTAGGCCTAAGTACATCATAGCAGTAATGTCATGTGGTACTTGTGCTATTGTAATGGTGCATTTTGGTAAAAAAAAAAAAAAGTTCTATCAAGATTCTGTATGCTTTATGGATCCACCAGACATCATGTTGCCTGTGAGTATGAGACCTTTTAAATCAGTTATGTAAGCTAATGAGTTTAACTGAGTTTGAGAAGGCCCATCAGTTGAGGAGGATGAGGAGACTGTCTGTATGTTCAAGGAGGGGGTACTCCATCCATGCTATACTGTATTGAATATTAAAAAGTGTACTTGTGTGATAAAATGATCATAATGTGTTTTCAGGATGCTGACACTGCTCTAGAGTTCTGTTCTAGAGTATTAAGAAATTAAAACAATGTGACAAGAGTAATTAAATAACTTAAATGTTGCTACATAACCCAGAAAACATAAAAGGAGAGTATAAACGATACTGCCTTAAATAAATGGAAGCAACTGATATCGACATCGAGTATAAAAAACTAAAGATGAGGAAGTTGGAGCTGGAAATTCAACAGCTACAAAAAAATGCAAGTAGAACTACCTTTTTTTTAAAGGAAAAGAAAAAAAACATTACTTGGAAATAGTAATTAGTTACTGATTACTGATTACTTCTCCAAGAAAGTAATCCAATTACTTTACTGATTACTTCTTTTCAAAAGTAATTAGTTACTTTACTAGTTACTTTACTAAGTTACTTTTCAAAAACATGATGCACGACCTGAATACGCTAAAGCATAGACCTTTCAGCCTAATTTTATTCTTTCTGCATATTCCATCATCTAAAATGTAATCAAATTAAACATTCTCTTTTTTTTAAACTTGTTTTATTTCTTTCAATATTTTAACTTTATGCACATTGTATCGAGCAAAAATTAAATTAAATGCAACAGTCTCAGACTAGAAGAAAATTGTTGAACATTTAAACCTATTTTCTGCACATTCCACCATATTTTAATGAAATAAAGACAGCCCTTCTTCTGTTATATACATTTGTACATATTCCAGCATATAAAATAAATATGTTTTGTAAAATACTTCATTTGAATAGATGTAAAAATACAGCAACAAAATCATGAAAGTCGCTCCTGACTATATTACAAATTATTAACACTTACGTCTTTTAACAGTAAAGTGCAGAGAGGAGCAAAAATTAGTTTAATCACAACAGAAAATGCTGTTGCATGCCGTATTTTGGCTTCAAGTTTTTTTTCTGTTTTTTTCTTTTTCTTTCGGAGTTAAACAGTGGTTATGTCCCATCAGCATGTAGCCGCAGCGGTCATGTCAGATGGGGGTTCAGGGTTTTTTTCAGTAAGTTTCACATTCCTATACCGGCTTGCTGCTTTAGTTAACCGTGTGAGGCTGTCTCGTGACATGCTTGCTCAGATTTGAGGTAGAATTAGACATTCTCCAACGGGGGCCCTGTTTCCAGATCAGGATGCTCTTTGCATAGTAAGCAAGTCTCTCTCTCGCTCTCCTCGTCGTGCGCGCGATACGAAGTTTGGACTTTGGAACACAGTCTCGCATGCGCGCTCGCTCTAGATTCCGGGAGATTTTAACTAATTTGCGGTATAACTAGTCAATCACAAATGTGGCTCAACGGTTAGATTTATAGATATAGTCATCTTTCAGGCATTTGATCGACGGGATTGACACTTCAGCGCGAGAAATCGGGGGTGTGTTGTGTGAGCGTGTGTGACAGAGGCGTAGCAAGCTTTTGAAAAGTGTGGGGGATGGATGTGTCATTTAAATTTGGGCATGTTACGTAGACCCCTGTCCCTCTAGGGGGGTTCGGGGGCATGCTCCCCCGCAAGAAAATTTGGTACATTTTAAGGTTAAATGCATCAATCTGGAGCACATTGAGAGCTCAAAATTAAGAGCTTCAACTGGATTCGACCCAGGCCTGTGCACATTGAACAACGAAAAAGCATGGACTTGTTGCTTACCTAAAGAGGGCTCAAACATCTTTATAGTTAAGATATAGAGTCTGTCATTATATTCTATATTATTCTATCAAAATTACAATACTTTTGTCCTAATTTCTTCACTTGTAAGAAATAAACCCTTGAGCTTTTATTTAGGAGAAAACACAGAACACCATGCTGATCGTGTGAGCAAAGAGCGCGTTTTTTTTTTCAAATCACGCAGCATTACAAACAGAATGCCTAACGCAAGTCTTCTACTGTTTATCCAAAAATACGAAATATAATAATGAAAACACTGGACATGTCAATAAAACATAAACATAACATCTTCCCAAACACATATCAAGCTTATTTAAAAAACTCGAAAGCATAAACACTCATTCAAAGTACCTGGAAAAGGGAGATGTAAACAACCATAAGTTCCCGCCTCCTCAGCACGAGCTGACCGATACATCTAACACATCAAGAGAGGCGGGACTTAAGGCAGAACAGCCAATCATCAGCCGGACACACTCAAAGCCGGTGTCATGTTTGAGAGGAGACAGCCGCAGCGAGCGCACACACACACACTGAGCGCCAGAGAAACGGAGGAGCGACTGTAGAAAGGCGTTTTGTGTAAAAACACTCTCACCGGGAAAAGTGTGGGTGTTAAAACACCCACATCCCCCATGGTTGCGACGCCCCTGTGTGTGAGAGTTGGCAGCTCGGCTGCTCTCTCAACCCCAAGACGTCATATAACTGACGTTTTGGGACGTCTTTTGACCATACGTCAATATTTGCCTTTTTAGGGCCCCCTTAAACGTCGGTAGATGAGGTTATGGGATCCTAACTCTACCCCAGACCTAAACTTAACCCTAAACCTAACCCGTCACCTAACTGACGTTAAAGGTAAAGCGTCAGTTGTATGACGGCCCGGGATCGCCATCTACCGACGTTTAAGGGGGCCCTAAAAAGGCTGATATTGACGTATGGTCAAAATACGTCCCAAAACGTCAGTTATATGACTTTTTGGGATGAGACTGTGTTAGCTCTCTCCCGCGCTCTCGTCTCTCACTGATGTCGCGGCGCTCATACATCATTTTTATTCACGCACGACTCATGTCACGAGACGGTCTGACTAAACAAAATCACGGTTAACTAACGCAGTAACACAGGCTGTTTACGGGGAAGTAACGGTAATCTAATTACTGTTTTTTCAATTGTGATCCCTTACTTTACTCGTTACTAGAAAAAAGTAATTGGATTACAGTAACGCGTTACTTCTAACGCGTTACTGCCCATCAGTGTTCACAACATTTATTTGTGTGTTTTCACCCCTAACAGGCAGATTCACTCTGAATAAAGACAAATCACATTAAATACTTTGACTTCTGTGTGTTTGTTCAACTAAGGAGAAAGTTGAGGGGCCAGTGGAAAATTTTAAAGGCTACACAGTCATGGTTTAGACCATATTAAACAAAATAATTATTTGTATATGTGTGGGCTTGGTAATCTACAAATATATGCAATCCCATCTCTTGAGAACCTATATCGTTCATAGTTAGCTGTCATTTAATGCCAATGGGTCTGACCTGTCTCTGAAAGTTCTCTCTCTTTGAAATGCCCTCCGCAAGACTATAGCTCCCTCATCCAACACCTCATCTATGAAAGGACACGCCATGGTTAAGTTTGGAAACGAGTTCAGCTCCCATACACTTCATTAATTACCAAACTCATTAAACAAACTCACCAATTAAATACACAAGTTTTGAACATTTCTTAGTGCATTTATACCATATAATTTCTTACATTTATTAGTAAAGTACATTTCCTTATTTATTTAAAAAAAAATATGCATTATTAGTGGTTAAGTAAAATAAAATGACATCGAAATACCAGCAGGTGAGTATAAATTGTATTCTCGTTAATCCTGAACTCAGACTTAGCCTGACAGTTAGCCTGCCCCGGACCAGGCTAGTTTTCCAGCGTAAGTTTCCAGGGTAACTGAGTTTGAACTATTTTAAGTTTGCTTTATGAAACAGAATTCACCAACAATAAGTTTGACTAACCAAAATAAGCCTGGCTTATTTTCTAATCTTGTTTTATGGAACAACCCTCTGGTCACTTCATAAGTTTTCTGTGATCGGATAGCCATCCGATCGTGAAAAGACCAGGTGTAATGCCCTCCAAAACGCATTCGAGACAGATTTGAATCCGATCGCAAATATGTCTGTATTATACGTTTCTGCGCAATTAAAATGTAATTATATACACGTATGATAGAACGACACTTTACGTACAAATACAAACGTATTTTCATGAGATCACGTTGGAGAGACCCGAGTTTATAAATATGGGTAAATATGGTTGTTTCTTTGGGTTAAAAAGGTACGCAATAGTCCCGGCATTATTTTGTTCTCCGACTATGATGATGGCAGTATTTAAATCTTTGAGTGAACTATCCCTTTAAACTAACCACTGTTCTTGAACAGTATTATCAAAAGTGTTCCCTGTCTTTCAGCCTGACATCCTGGCCATGGCTCACATGCACAGGCGTACTCCCTCTCCAGCTCTCATTTTCAACACAATCATTTCTCTTATTGTTCTCATTCCGGGAGACTTCCAGGCCATAGTCAACTTCTTCAGGTATAGTGCAAGATTTTGCATAACACCATATTACTCATACAACCAAATGATTCAACCTAGAAATAGCAGTTGGTATGAATGAATAACTAAACTTTGTTGTCAGTTGCTCTGTATCTGCGGCCTGATGATGCACAAACTATTTGTCCTGATGGATTTATTAACCACTGTACCCAGTTAACACAGTCTCATCCCAAGACGTCATACAACTGACGCTTTTGACCATACGTCAACATCTGCCGTTTAAGGGTACCCTTTAACGTCAGTTAGATCACAATCCTGAAGCGTCATCCAACTGACGCTTTACCTTTAATGTCAGTTAGGTGATGGGGTAGGTTTAGGTCTGGGGTAGGGTTAGCAGTGTTGTAGTACTCGAGACTCGGACTCGTCTCGGACTCGGTCTCGAGACCATATTTTAATGGTCTTGGTCTTGTCATGGACTCGTGTCCATTTGGACTCGGAATTGACTCGTACTCGAACATTTTTTTTTTTTTAGGACTCGGAATTATTCCCGAGTCCACTCGAGTTAAATTCAAAAATATTTTTCATGATTATTAATGTATGTTAAATTGTAATAAATGTTAAATTGTGACAAATTGTAATAAAATTACTTTTAACACCACCTACTATGTGGTCTTTTTACCCTAAACTGATCATATTTTTTAAACTCTAAGTAAATTCAGTAAAAAAAAAAAAAAGGATTTCTCTAAGTAAATAAAAGTAAATTAGGTAATCAACCCTCACTGGTCTCGGTCTCGACTCGGACTCGACCGTCTCTGGTCTCGGACTCGACTCGGACTCGACTCTCTATGGACTCGGTCTTGACTCGGACTCGACTCTCTCTGGTCTCGGTGTCGACTCGGACTCGAGTGAGGTGGTCTTGACTACAACACTGAGGGTTAGTATTAGATAACGTCATTTAACCGACATTTCAACGCATTCTCATCGTTAATATAACACGCGCTGTGAGGGCTAAGTTTAGGTGTGGGGTAGGGTGTGCGTGTCATATTCACGCTAAAGGATTTATGACGTCTTTGGTTCGCGTGTTATATTAACGATAAAGGGTGCCATGTGCGTAGTATAGCACCGTTTTTGCATATAGCGTTCTGTATGACGTTAAAGGATGAGAACGGGCTGGACATTTAAGGGTACCCTAAAACGGCGGATGTTGACGTATGGTCAAAAGCGTCAGTTGTATGACGTCTTGGAATGAGACATCCACAAGATTCCTTGCTATGTTTAAATTTAGACTACAGTTTGCACAACAAGAAACAAAATCCTCCACCACAAATGAGATGTCTCCTCATTTGCTAGGAGGCTCACAAAAACTGCAAACTTCAGAATATAACTCGCAGGCCCTCCTGCAGTTATTAGTGTACAAATTAAAAAGACAGAGGGTAAAGAACACACCCGGGAACCGGTAGAGGAACTTAGAAGATAGCAAACCATTGACTCTCACACACTCCTCACAGTCCTGTTCGATAAAAACATTTACTGTCCATCCTCCAAATTAAGATCCAGGTTAAATAGTTCTACAAGCTTTTCAGCTAACACATGTGCTACACAAACTGAAATCGGTCTAAAATATCTTCTACATATCTCAATATCACAATTTTCTCAAATGTTTTTATTACCAGAGAAGTGACAATTAGACTACTGGTCTAAAATAATTTAAAACCTTTTCGCTCCTGCATTACACTATGATCTCAACACCTTACCACTAATGTTATCTGATCAAGGACATTAATTTGCTTTTATCCTTAAAAAAGCCCCTGTAGAAACACCAATATAAAACATCATATTACTTTGCAAAAAATCATACTTTACAATACACATTAGAAGTATAGCCCTTTAACCATATTCCTATTTCTTTCCTGTTAAACTGTATTAAGTTCATTCTATCCCTCACCACCCTGCGATCAGAAATTAAAACATTTATATTGTTATTTTTTTATGTTTTGTCATTGCAATAGCTTCTCTTACTTCAGGATAAGAGAATAAACAACTTTGTTACCACTTTTAAAAATAACTTTTTTCTCCTCTTTTTTTTTTAACTCCTTCCCCTCACGCCAGAGTTTTTGAAAAAAGTTGCTAGCCAGCACCAGTATTTTTTTTTTTTTTATCATTTTCACAAAAGTTTCGTGGACCCTATAGAATATTTTGTTGTTTGAATATCTGAACATGCAATATATCAAAAGAACAGGCCCTCTACTTTAAACAAACAAACAAACAATATTTTTATCAGCACTTGAATGTGGGTAGGTTTCATTAAAAAGCAACATTTAGAGCAAAAGCAAAAGCTTGCAGTGCTACATGTATGGATCTGTAGCATAAATCAAGAGTCTTATTTCAATGAGTGCAACAGGTGATGTACTGATGAAACTGTTGCAATCACTCACACATAACAAAAAATGGGGCATCGGGTGAGATATACAAGTCTTAGCAGAGAGAACAACACCTGGATTTTTAGTTTTAACCTTAGGGTGAATATACACAACTGTCAGGAATACTTGAGGAAATTCCCTTGGCAACTAATATGGTCTCATAGAAATTGTCAATAACTCAGTGTCCGGTAAGCAAATTTCTCCCGCACTGTTACATTATTACACAATCGTCGGTTATTATGAAATCATACGTCACCTCACTGTCACCAGTGTTAATTTTGGCACCCATTTTTGATTTAGTCTTAGTCTTTATCTTCAGACGAAAATGCTTAATTGGTCTTATTCACATTTCAGTCACTTTGTCTTTCATAGTTTTATTATAGTTTTAGTTGATAAAAAGTCATTGCATTTTTTTTTTTAACTTTTACTCATTACTCATTACTTTTAGTCAAACTGTAGTTACCGACATTAATTTTGGTAGCTATTTTATATGTAGTCTTTAGACAAAAAATGTCATTATAATTTTTCTCTCAAGGCCAATTCAATTAAAGGGGTCATGAACTGGCTTTTTAAATTTTATTATATAGACTGTCAGAAAAAAAGGTACAAAAGCTGTCACTGGGGCGGTACCTTTTCAAAAAGGTACACTTTTGTACCTAAAGGGTGCATATTGGTACCATAATTGTACAAATATGTACCATAAAGGTACCAATATGCACCCTTTAGGTACAAAAGGTACCGCCCCAGTGACAGCTTTCGTACCTTTTTTTCTGAGAGTGTAGTTGTCTGAGGTGAAATTATGACGGTTTTTGCATTCAAAAACATTAAAATGAATAACTAATAAGCTATTTTCTACCCTAGTTTTCAGCCCAGCTCAGAAATGCTCGGTTTTTATGGGCGTCTCGCACTGAAGACTTGGAAGCAGTGCTCGAAGTGGGGCGGTACTTCTACATTTTACTCTTAAGCGTACCTGCACTTTTTGTCCTGAAACTGCAGTCTCCGGTTGTGCAGGAATACCCTTCTCCTTTTTGTTGCGTACCGCTACTTCTCGCATGCGTGACGGCCGTTTAACCCCTTATTTAGCTACTGCACACATCTGCGGCGCATTACGGCTGTGAAACAGCAACCGGAGCTGATCGCGGGATTCGCTGTCACCGCAAGCGTGAGTAGCGCGTATCTTTTTCATCTTGCATGTTAATCAATGAGTGCAGTCACACCACGAGCAGGAGCGTCGCGTAAGCAGCAGTGAGAGTCTATTTTTGTTGTGCTCATGCTCATTTAAGGTGAAAGCACACTTTTCATGGAGAAAATAAACATGATTTCACACAAAAAGTGACCAAAATGCACAGAATTTGCTTGTCTAGTGTGTTTTAACAAGAACTGGAGTAGGCTACGTCAGAAAAGAAGACTCAAACACAAGATTTAGCCATTTAAACTTGTCTTATTATTCAGTTTGGGTAAAACTATGTTTTTTAAATAAATAAAACGAGCAAGCTAGTCAGAATATAAGCTTTTCTTTTAGTTTATGTAATAGCTTACACAGACAGGTAGCCTACATGCCCAAATCAAACCTAGTGTATAGGCCTACTTTTTTATGTTTGCTGTCTTGTAAACATATTGAAGTTTGACTGAAAAGACAAAATCAGAGCTGTTTTCTTGGTTGTTTCTGTTGTTTACCATTTACATGCTATTGTTGTATACTTCCCATCTTAACAAACTTCAAGAATCAAGTTTATTAATGACCAACTTCTAAAAAGAGAATGTTTCTTTTTAAAGAAATGCGCACGCATACACGACTTGTTTAAATACATTTATGTTGTTAATAAATAACAATAAATTGTTGTTGTACCAGCAATATTTCCAAGTTTTGTTTTTCCGTGTAAAAATCTCAAATGTCATGATTTGCCAATGCAAGAGAGTACCGGCACCTTTTTTTCCCCACTTCAAGCACTGCTTCAAGCACTGCTTGAAGTAAACACCCACTGCTGTGAGTGGATAACAGTTTTGCATTATAATGAGTGTTGCGGCAAAAATCCTTTCCAACATCATCACTGCGTAAGAGACACTCAGAGTCAGATTAATGAAAAAATAAGAAGTACTTTATTCTTGCAAGAAGGTTCAGTCTGACACACAGAAGTAACGCTGTGGTGAGAGTGAGACCCAGTCTGCCCACTTCACACAGCTTTTATACCCAAACTCAAGGTTTCAGTTGTACAAGTTACTTCCTGATAAGGAAGTCTTACACTGCTACAGAAAAGGTCAGCACTTGCTGACTGGCCTAGTCAGGATGACATATGGGTCAAAAGTCTTTTTTCACCTGTTTCTATATTTTCCTCATGCATGTTCCTCACGTAGGACTCATAGGAAGCACATGCTGTTCATGTATTTTTACTAAACACAAACCTACTTTCTATCAAATCATTCATGAATCTACTTCTAGTAATTCATTATTTAATAATTACTATTAAGATCAAGCTAACTTAAAATTTTCCACAACAGTCCCTCCTTTTTATCACTCATATTCTCAAAATCATAATGATAAACATTTTTTTAGAGCAAATTTTAAGTCATATCATCACATTTATACTCTTCATTTCTGACTTTCATATAAATGATCACTCTTCTTAAACATTTGCGAAAAGATAGTATTTGGAAAAGGAAACGCTAAGGCTGTTCTTGTGGGGGATAGTCCCCTAATAATTAGCAAGCTAGTAAAGCAATTCATCCGAAGCCGGGCTAAATGAATAATCACTGTTATTGCACTCCTGATAAAAATCAGACCCGCAGTCACCTCGTCATGAATAAGATAAAGATTATAGATTAGCAAGGAAAAACTCAAAATCATCTTCAAACATAAGTCATTACTTCAACATAGTAAATATAATGAACCAAACCCCTTACTTCTCAATCATTCAGAAGATAGGGATACTACTACAGAGGATACTTCCGCTACTAGTGTCATCATCAATTTCTTTGTTTCTGTCGGCACAATTTGGATAGACTGTCAATGTCATCATTGTAGCTGATGTCGCTGCTTTC